CTACCAGTAAATTGACAGTTCACTATCAGGGGAAACATCGGTTAAAAACTGACCAAAACTCTAGTCTATGACATCATCATATGGCTTGACTCTGTGGGTCCCCTGGCAGTAATTGTATTGCCCTTTATGACCACAGCGCCAATATCGTGTCCACCAGTTGTTGTGTCTGGTGGCGATTTGGCTAAAACCGAACGCGTGTATAATGATAAACGTGGTAACTGGACTCTCATGGGCCACAGCGACATGATATCCAGAGACATGGAAATGTGCCTAAGGCTTTCAGACGCTGGCTTTCATTCTGTGTCTGTGTAGAAGTAAGTAATTGTCCTATTTCCAGCATAAAGAGCTAGACCTATATTTTTAGGGACCAATCGGCACAAGATGAGTGTTGTGTTCAGCATAACGTCGGCCGCCTCTACTTCCTGGAACTGCATCCGGTACTCACTTAAGGCTGGGTCTACCTGGGGGTCAAAGTGCAGCTCCTCCCTGAAGCGAACCTACGACCTTCCGATCCGTACGCGAGCGTCTAGCCGCTACGCCACGGCGACTCACTGTGTCTATGTGGTTTACATATATCGCATGCTGTTTAAAGCCAGTTTTAAAATAAGGCTGTGAATCCTGGACATATTTTTTTTTTTAATAAAGCCAAACAATTTCTTGAGGCCTGGGTGATGTGGTTTTACAGAAGAATCCTAAGACTTCATTGGTCAGCCAGATTTTTTGAAAGAAGCGAGGTCTGGAAGACAACTTATCACCAACATCAGAAAATAAGACTGTCATAATTTAGTGGTTATGTTATGAGAAGAAAGAAACTGGAACATGTTGTGACCACTGAAAATATCTGTTGAAAGTGAGACAGAGAAAGACAACGCGAGAAGTTTGTTGTCAGATTTTTGTCCTGTCATGAAAGGGTGTCAACGTCAACACACGAACACATACACGCAGTTGCAGATCGCAGATTGTGGAGAGACATGGACGCCCACGCCAGTTGGCAAGACACTAGTTGCTTGTTCGTTAAAGTCGGTGTCTGTATATTAGATGCTGCGAGCGCGCTTAGTAATACCAGGGTGCTGGGTTCGATCCCAGCTGCATACAAAGTAGCAGCAGGCGCTTTGAAATGCCGGGGTAGCGGGTTGGATCCCAGCTGCCGACAATTTGTCTAGCACTGATTTCGACAGTGGTACCAAGAGCTGACCGTTAAGGGGCATTGACAAATTACTGAACCCAAAATTTGCCTAGAACTAGAAAAACCAGCCATATAATGCTATGGTTGGTTCTGCAAGGTCCTGCAGAAGATGGAAAGCCAACCACAATGGTAAACTACTGAAGTTAAAATTCGCCTAGAATTATCGCAACAAGGAAAAAAAAACCAATAAAACACCTTTGATCATTAACCCCCATTAACAAGCAGATACCTCGGAGTACTAAAGTGAATCTTATCAGAACTATTTTTTGGCCAACACTATGCTATCAATGCCAAACGTGGACACTTACAACCTCCAATGAACCTAAAATTGTGACAACAGAGAAGAAATGCCTTAGAAGAGCTGCAGGAGTTTCAAGGAAAGACAGAATACGAAATCATGAAATCAAACGAATGCTAGGAATAAAGCCAGTCTTACAGGTCATCAAAGAACAACAAATGTTTGAATACCTAACAAGAATGCCCTGGTACTATCCACCACACCGAGCCACACTAAAACGTTACAACGGGTAAGGAGCGAGTGGAAGACCTCGGAAAATATGGAGTGATGGCATTAAGAACAGCCTTACAGAAATAAACATCAGTCTCAATAGTGCTATTGACAGAGCTCATCAACAAACATTACATCTCCCCCCCCCCCCCCCCCCCGACACTTCGTTGAGGTAAAAAGTGGAAGAGAAGAAAAAGAAGAAAATCATTACCCCAACTATTCACAGACACGTAGTCTTTCCTAATCATCGTTTACTGCATTTTCCCGTCCATTCCAGCCCTCCCCCACCGCCCCACCCCACCACCACATTTACCTACTTCTCCTTCAAACGGTTATTATTGTAACGAACCTACCGCCTAGAAAAAAAAGGAGTGAAGATATGTAGGCAACTGACGTAATCAGTGAAGGCAGGGTGAGATTTTTTTCCCACTCAAAATAAAGAAAGGTACCCCTCCACCCATCCATTGAGAAAAAAAAAAATTACTTAAGATGGGAGGAATGTATCAATAAGCCCCACAACCATGTGCGAGTTCCCCCCCCCCCCCCCCCTCCAGCCTCCACCCCCCCCTCCCCTTTCCCCCCTCTCAAAGCACACATACAAGTTTATATTTTAGGCTTTTGTTTTTACATAAGCAGATCATTATTGTTTTTTAAACCACCCAGCACATTATTATATTAAGCGACAGACCAAGGCTTGTTCCCCTCCTCCCCACCCTCTTTTTTTAGACCCACGCTAATGTTTTCCTTGTGTCCCCGAATCTTATATATATTTGTCTACAGTGTTCAGTTAAACTGGGGAAAAAAAATATTATTTTATAGATTGTGTTTACCAGCCGGCCGCTGCCAAAAGCCTACATGCGACCATTGTTATCTGAAGAATTCAGACTATTTAAGTTAAATTATCTGCTTTGGCGTGCCATAATTTCCTTCTGTATCCGTTTTATTGCATTACCGTAAGTCAATTAAGTGAAATTATACAGGGTCGTCGGCTTCTTTTTCGTCGCTTAACACCTTCACTGTCGGCATTTGACTTGGGTACTTAACTACTGTCTGATGAGTTTATTGCACCCGTTTTATTAGCGGCTGGAGGTCAAGTCATCTTTCTGGGGCAGGAAGATGATCATTAGCAAGGTCGCCTCGGTGGTCAGATTGTTGAATGGACAATGCTGACCAGTTATTATAATTTGGGCCTGTCTCCGAGCTAGTAAATCAGGTGGCGGAGAAGGCTCAGGCTTGGGAGGATTTGGGGTAGACACCAGAGGCGTTAATTGCCCTGGCTAGTTCAAGGAAGAGACGGGAAAAAGAGAGTATTGTAGGGCCGTGTCAAAGAACATTAGGGCTGACATTTATATCGGTTTGTTTCCCTCTTCCCGATTTTGAGTTGGCGGTGGGGGGGGGGGGGGGAGGCGTTATATGCCCGATGTCCCTGTTACATGCCCGATGTCCCTGTTATATGCCTCATGTCCCTGTTGTATGCCCCATGTCCCTGTTATATGCCCGATGCCCCTGTTATATGCCTGATGTCCCTGTTATATGCCTGATGTCCCTGTTATATGCCTGATGTCCCTGTTATATGCATGATGTCCCCGTTATATGCCCGATTTCCCTGTTATTTGCCTGATGTCCCTGTTATATGCCTGATGTCCCTGTTATATACCCGATATCCCTGTTAAATGCCCGATGTCCCTGTTATATGCCCAATATCCCTGTTATATGCCTGATGTCCCTGTTATATGCCCGATATTCCTGTGATATGCCCGATGTCCCTGTTATATGCCCGATATCCCTAAATGCCCGATATCCTTATATGACCAACGTTTCTGTTAAATTCCCGATGTCCCTGTTATATGCCCGATTCCCCAGTGATGTAAAACTAGTTTTTCCCCCTAAACCTATAAAATGATTGTATTCATGTATACACACTCGTGGACATATACTGATTACTGTTGTAATCTATGGAAACTAGAATAAGTATCCTTGGTAACTCTCGATAAATAGACATCATTTATAGGGTGTTTGTAAAGTCTCATTACACTTTGTGTATGGAAGAAATGTGAAAAATGAAGTACATAACGTCATAAAAACAATGTGCCGCACAGTCTTTCGTGAAGTAATAGGCAGTGAATGGTTGTTGTCTGCTGAAGTAATTCTTTGCACTTAAAACAGAATGGTGTTATCAAGGGAAGGAGGAAAAAAATGAATAATTTAAAAATTAACAATTGACACGTTTTAGAAGGTGTATGACAATATTAGGAGACGTCTACAGTAATGTCTTGGCAGATATTTACAAAACCTGTTATAATAAATATTTTATTGATACTTTCCAGTTCCACCAAGTGTTTGCAGGTCTGTCTGGACATTATCTCTCCACATTCTTCTTGGTCTGCCTCGTGATCTACGACCATTTATATCCCTTGTGTAGACAGTTTTTACTTCTCTGTCATCTGACATTCTTTTAATATGCCCCAATCATTTCAGTCTATAAGCAGTTAATTTTCTTCTTCTTCTTGAAAGCCATACACTGAGGTATGGATAGTAATATCTATCTAGAACCTTTTGACTCGTGTACTTTCAGTTAGCTCTGACACAGGTGATGCTCCTTGCCATGACGTCAGACTGTACGCCGTCTTTTCTCTCAGTCTCCCTCTGCCTCTCCTCCATCTAACTTTCCGACTGTCACGATGTGCTCCAGTTTTCTCCTTCTCGTGATATGACCAAAGGATCTAGATTGTCTCTCTCTCTCGCTCTCTCTCTATCTCTCTCTTTCTCTCTCTCTCTCTCTCTCTCTCTCTCTCTCTCTCTCTCTCTCTCTCTCTCTCTCTCTCTGGTGTAGACAATCAGTTCTCTTTGTGGGTTAGTTTCTTTCAAGATGTCTTTATTGCTCTTTTATCTGTCCATGGTATTCTCATCATTCATCTATAAAACACTACCTTTGCAGCTTCCAACTAATTGTGTATGTGTTTGTATGTACACACACACACACACATATACGCTAGCACACACACACAAACGCACGCACACACACACACGCACACACTCGCGCGCGCACAGCCATGGACTGTGAGTCCCATGTCTCCTCATAGCGCAATATAACAGTATCGTCTGGAAAGACGGAAAGGTTCTAATCAATCAGTGTGTGTATGGTTATGGTTGTGTCTTCTGAATATCTATCCATTTTTCCATTCGTCTATTCATCTGCTCCCTATCTAACCATTTCCTTCCTCCCAAACCTCTTGATCTAACTCAACAATAAACACCATGTGTCCCAACCATACATTAACCCACCCGTCTTCTTTCCATCCACAGCGGAACTCCACTTCGAGCAGAAGCGAACCCGACAGACCTACACACGCTACCAAACCCTGGAGCTAGAAAAGGAATTCCACTTCAACCGTTACCTGACGCGTCGGCGGCGGATTGAGATCGCCCATATGCTTGGGCTCACGGAGCGACAGATCAAGATTTGGTTCCAGAACCGGAGAATGAAATGGAAAAAGGAGAATAACCTACAGAAGCTTACTGGACCAGATAAGCCAGTTAAAGACGAATGTGGCAGTTCTCCCAGGGATAGCTCTAATATCAAAATGGAGGATCAGGGCTCGATAGATTCGTGATGATCCTATTTCTGTAGATTTTCAATATTGTGTTCTGGTAATCGATCGATAGTTCGATCTTCCCATGTGTGTTTTGGGGTCCTATTGTGGGGGAAAACAAGAATAGACCGAGTGCCTCTCCAACAAGCATGTCGTATGAGTCGACCAATTAGGGACGTCCTTTGAAATCGGAGTGCATCAGCCAGAGGGGCAAGGAACAACCAGCTGGACAAAATAAGCCAGTAAAACGGACATACACGCAAAACCCATGCCCAAAACCAGTGTCTCAGACCATAACTTTCCGCCGGAGCTTACAGCCGGTGGACAAAGAACAAGAAGATAGATCGATCAGTTTGTCCACTCCGAGTTGCTACCTAAAGGTTTACCATACCAACCTGAGATTTTTATTTTTATTTGCAAACTACCTCTTCTTGTTGTTTAATAGCTGCAAACTCCGTTAAAATTCCTGGTTGTTCAACCACCTCTGGATTTTGCTCATATTCCAGAACTTGAGGTTTTGGGTGCACATCCGTTTAACAGATTTGTATGCAGACTTTTGGTCCTCCACCTCTCAGCCAGATGTACTCCGACTTTCAGAGAAATTACTGCTAAGTAGTTGACCGTTATCAACATGTTTGTTAGGAGAGAGGCAGGTCAGTGTGGTCTTGTTTCTATCCCCCAACACTGGGCGCTCGGGACCCACACGTAGGGAAAGATGAGTCAGGACAGTAGATCAACAAGGCAGATCTCAGATACCCCGTGCAACCTCCAAAGAAGTTATCCCTAGAGCACCTGTAACGGCTACCCCGGCCTGGTGTGACCTGCAGTGTTCTGCGGGTGAGGACGTGATTCCCTACAGTGAGGTGCTTGCAGAGTTGGCACACACACACACACACACACACACACACACACACAAACACACACATACATACACTTTCGCGCACGCACATATACGCAGGCACAAGCACACACGTACACACTCTCGTGCACACACACATATACATGCAGACACTCACACACACACGCATAGACGCACACACACACACACGCCCGCACGCATATACTCAGGCACAAGCACATACATACATACATACATACACACACGCACACACAAACCGTATGCATAATTTAACAAATGTCATCTGTTGTTCAATGTTATAGGGTGTTTGTAAAGTCTCACTACACTTTGTATGCAGAATAAATCTGGAAGAAAAAAAAAACTGACGTCAACAACAAAAAATGTATTACAGCAAAGGGGTCTACTGTGAATTCCCCAGAAACAGAATCGAAGAAATTAGTTCAGAATTATAAAACTTTTTCGCATTGCCTAAGCTACTGAAAAATTTGTGATATCGCCAATATCAAATGTCGTGCCCTTACACTTTAACCCATATCTGGGAAACTATACGAAAAAAAAAAAATATTAGCTTGTGGCTTTTTATTTCCTATATCCTTATCTACACAATATATAACAAATCCTTTCTGTAAACTGTGTTTTTATTATAAATGAACTATTACTAATCCCAAATCATAAACAATACACGAGTTAAATTTTCATTTGCTATTATCGCTACAATCTTTAATTTAACAGTCACATTGACAGCCAGGTTATGGTGCCCTTCTGTTATTTATTGCCACAATCAGTAAAAGTAAACTTTCGCAGCTGAGTAATATCCCTTTAAATATTGTTCCTCTGATACCCGATACATTAACTTATGTTGATGTCGTCCTTGAAACGTAGACTGTAAGATAGGGGCTTTAGAAGAAGTATTTGCTTTGTCGGTCCGATTCGAGGGACTGTCAACATGCCGAATTTTAACCCTGAGTCACGCCATGACTCAGGGACCAGTTCTCACACACTGTAGCAATTTATTTGCTGCAGAAACATCAGAGAATCATTATACATGCAATAAAATGGGACTCTGACGGAATAAGGAAACTAAGGCATCCAAGATAAACTTACAGATGGAAGGTTTATGTTGTCGTCCCTTCTATTTAGAGATTCTATTACATATACGGCAGCGGTGGGAACCGATTTCAACAACATTCACCGTTTTCAACAACTTACACTGGTTTCAACAGCTAACACCGACTTTAACAACTTACACCGGTTTCAACAACTTACACCGGTTTCAACAACTTACACCGACTTTAAAAACTTACACCGATTTCAACAACTTACACAGACTTTAACAACTTACACCGATTTCAACAACTTACACCGGTTTCAACAACTTACACCGATTTTAACAACTTACACCAATTGCAACAACTTACACCGATTTCAACAACTTACACCGATTTCAACAACTTACACCGGTTTCAACAAGTACACCTATTTCAACAACTTACACCAACTTTAACAACTTACACCGATTTCAACAACTTACACCGATTTTAACAACTTACACCGATTTCAACAATTTGCACCGACTTTAACAACTTACATCGATTTTAACAACTTACACCTATTTCAACAACTTACACCGACTTCAACAACTTACACCGACTTTTACAACTTACACCGACTTTAACAACTTACACGGACGATTACTGAGTTAAAGTCGGGCACGACTTTTAGAGCGCACTATAGATTCAAATGTTATGCCTAAAATTCTATTAGACCCTAAGACCGAAGTTAACACAAACAGTATTTAGCTATAATGTCAAGTTGTTGGCATTGTCTTATGTTGTACAGATCACAACTGCCGTTAACATCTTTCCGGAGATTGACCAGCGAATAGACCAAACATAGCTAACAACATTTCAACAATACAGTAGCCAATTTTAGCACCTTTTGAATTTGTGAAAGTCAAATGTAATCTGTTTTCGTCCCTGATATAATACATACACATACCTTCTACTCGACTTACGACCTATGTGACTTACCTACGACTACAAAACATAAAAAGAATATAAATAGTAAATGAAGAAAGATAACTACAACTGTATGTTCAAATATTTACGGAACCGATGCAATAGATTACATATTATGTATTTTTCATATTAAATCAATAAGTATATGCACATAGATCTGATTAGTGTGTTGTTTGTACAATTTCTATGAACTGTTTGAATGAAAATAGTGTTGCAACAATATAGACTCGACTTACGACTAGGTCGACTTACGACCTCTAAGTCGGAACTGAACTCGGTGTTAAGTCGAGGCTTCTTTGTAATTTTGATATAACAGTTTCTACACAGAAGGTTTGTTTCCTTCTTCTTTTTCTTTGTTCACTACTTCTGGAATCCCTCACAACGTCAGCGGAGGAAGAGATCTCTAGTATGTTCGCTTCCTATATAGTACTTTTCAGTATCTCTGATATTTCTGCGGTCCATGTTCTGCGTGGTCAACCTCTGGGTCTATTACCACTGTATCTGTCTAACATTGCTCTCTGTGGGGCCCTGTCTGCTGCCAATCTTGTTACATGGCCAAACCATTGGGTTTGTTGTCTACCTAAAGTTCAGTACTGTTTCTGTGCCGATTCTCCTCCTGATTTCATCGTTCCTAAGTCGATCTTTCCTCGTCACACCTAGCATAGAAATACATAGAAATACATTTTGATTTCTGTCGTGACTATTTTCCTTCTGTCTTCTGAAGACAGTGTCCATGTTTGACATTGATAGCAGAGCGTTGGTAAGAATATTGTGTTAAACAGTGTTCTTTTAGTGTTCAGATTCACACGCTTGAATTTCAGAATTGGTGCCATTTGGCCTAAAACTTGATTGGCTTTGTTGCATCTTTGTTGGATTTCTTTATTCATTCCGTTTCCTATATAATGTAAATACATTTTGCTGGTTCTGTAGATTAAACTCCAATATATCTAGGAGTCGAGGTAGCGTAACTGCTAGGTGCTCGCCTGATCAACTGAAGGTTTTGTGTTCAAATTAGAATCCAGGTGTCTTCTTTCTCTTCCAAGCTAATCAAGCTAAACATGGATACCAGGTAATGTCTTGAGAAGTAAAGGCGGTCTGGTGTAATGCTGACCATATCATCCATCCAGTATCTATTTGTCTGTTAAAATCTGATTCTGGCCTGCAAATGTTTCTTTGCTATAATTTACGCCAAAAGGGTTTTACAGACACAGTTCGTGTTTACCCGGCACTGTTGAACCAAAAGCAACTAATGTTTACAGGTTCAGTCTAATCATAGTCCGTCTGCTTCGTATGCTGATGTAGGCCTTCTAGCTGCAACGTTCATTTTGTCGCTGTGTTTGCGTTAGTGTGAAGCTGACTGGTTTTCATTCTCGGTTTGATTAATATTTTGTCAGCAAATCTTTGGACGGCACTTCTGCTTGTGAGGAGCCCACACACACGCCTCGGATATTCTGCTGACAAGACAGAAATGTGATTTCCATCGAAGATGCCTCAGTCAAGTGATTTTATGTGTTACTGTTTGTGATCGCTTGCCTGATGATCGGCAGGCCGTGTGTTCGGGTCCTGATGGAAACGGACTTTCTTCAGAAAGGACGTCGGCTCCCAGGTCGACCCAGCTCTGAGTTGGTATCAGATGCAGTCCTTGGAAGTAAAAAGGCCGTTCTAGTTGACAATATCACCACCAAATGCCATTGAAGGCTTGGAAAATGCCCCTTTACTTTTTTTAATTCTCTTTGCGGTGTTGTCAAAAGTTAATTGTCTGTCCTGTATATGACGTCGCAGAACCAACCTCCACATTTTTTTTGCTACTAAAAGGCTGGCTGTCGATACCACTGTCGTAACCAACGCGAGGCGGTCTGGTGTGGTATTTTAGATTTACATTATGTGCTGATGAAGTCTCTGCAACCGCAGGATTCATTTGTCTTTTTTAACATTGTAAAATTGACTGGTTCTATGACTTATTATTGGTTTGATGACTTATTAGTAGTAGTACATTTTCCCCTACTAGGACCCGATGACACAAAGTGCCACCATATGAATGAGGATCACCCGTGTAGAGGTCCCGGAAACCGCGTTCAGCCATTAGACCCTATTTATGGCAGGGATATATTGCAGCATATGTAAAGAGCCAGGTGGATTTTCAA